GGTTAATATAAAAAATATTTTTTGTCCGATTCATCGATTAATTGAAAAAATAATCGGCCGATTCATCGATTTTTAAAATAATCGTTAGTTGCAGCCCTAATTGAAAACTGACAAAATTACTGATTAAATATTTTTTAACCAGAATTTTAAGTTAATTTTTCAACAGAAAGAAAAAGCCCTAAAATGCTTCTGTGGTTAGAGGAGCGACAGTCACTGTTAAAACCACAGCACTGTGTGAAAGGTTTACTGTAAACGACAGACAGAGCTATAAATAACCAGAGTGGCAGACAAACCCTCTGAACTGACATCCCTGTTGCCCCCAAAGGATTGTTCTGATAGCTTTGTACTGGAACAAGCCCATGTAGTCGAGGTAAATTCCTCTACTGGCAGGAAAAACAACGACCCTCAACGCTTTCAAATGGTATTGAAACACATATATCTCACCTTTCTGACAAGCCGTAATGCCTGCGTCCTCTCCCCCTCGTTGCTTTGCTGGATGTCAATACATCTGGAACCACAAAACAGATATTTTTTGTTAAAACAGACCCAGACACGTTTGTGGACACCAGTACTGCATTTTCATATAAACAACAACAAAAAACACAGACATGAAGTCATTCAAAGAGCCCTTTCCTATCTGACAAAAGCAAAGTCTTACCTGGAAATCAAATAATCCACCTGCAGTCTTAGGACCTTCTGCAGCACGTTGGTGTCTCTAATGAGATAGCGAAGTGCCCGCAAGCCTGCTGCACGCACTTCCTTGGCCTCATTTAGAAGAGCTAGACGCAGACTAAAATTAAAAAAACAAAACAAGAAGTAGAACATTAATCTCTAAACACTTCATAACAAAGGTACCCTTCGCTTAACGCAGTCATAATATTACTCTGAATAAGCAGAACTGATAAGCCAAAGCCCCAGAGATAGGGGAATTTTTATATTACAGGAACACCACTCGTACAAATTTACAGAGTCCTTGTTGATATAAAGGGCAGCGTTTCCGGACAGTACGTACCATACAATGATTTCTTCGTACGTAAAGCCAAAGCTCTCCTCGCGATGTCCAATACTGCAAAGCAACTGAAATACAAAATATATAAAGATTAAACTGTGTCAAGCAATTAAATAAAGTCTAAAGCCTCTTTCCCACTAAATTAGCAGGCTGACCCAGATCTAATGTCCCCAAGTTAGGCAGATTGGAGCCAAGCCGTTTGAAAGTGATTTTAACCAGGATCGCTTGCTGTTAGAAATATTTTATTTATACTCCGTTTGTGTTTCATGGGTTGTGTACTAATGAACTATTAGGATGTATAATGTGTGATTCATCATTTATTAACTCTTGCTAAAGATCGTTCGAGATAAAGGTCATGCAACGGACGGATAGTTAAAGAGGCCTAAACATCCTCTATCACATGTTTCTTCTAAATATGTGTTCTTGGAACAATTCAATTGTAAAAAAAACCACATGCTTTGTTTTAACATATGTGCTGAGGTTTAAAGTAAGATCATTTTGTTTCCCTTTCCCTTAGTTAAACCTCAGCTTGTGTAATTAGGGACACCCCCAGACTTCAATAAATAGCGAGGAGAAAGCTGAAGACCAGCAGAGTGGGTTGGAGATTTGTAAACTCCGCAGTCTCTTCCTACTCTCCTCACGAGTAAAACTAAATTAATTGTCTCTGTGCCTTCTTTCTTTCCCTGTATGTATGTATGTATGTATGATGTTTTAGGAGCTTAGACCTGACACTTGCCGAGTCGTTTAACCCCAGGGTCGACAGCGGTCAGCGTGCTGTTCCCAGTGCTACTAAAAGCCCGTTGTTCCCAGGGGTTAACAGCATTTTGGCCAGTGGGAAAGGGATAAATATGTTATCAGAAAGCACCATTTCATCTTAATTTAGGCTTGAAGTGGCTCTTATTGTATTTAAATGTAGATGACATCACACACATATTAAACCAGGTCTTCTTGAATAAAAAAAGCTTCTCAGAGTAAATCCTTCAATATTAAGATAAAAACAGCTGTTAAATTGTGAATGAAAAGAAAGCTTAGAAGATGTTGCCAGGATTGTTTTCTATGCAAGTTTTATTATTTGCTTATGTCCACCCTTATAAGTCGTCTTAATTCTATATAAGGATCCTGACAGCTGATCTGTCACTATTACCACAGACACAAAATCCTCCACTAAACTCCTCAGCAGCATATTTTACCCAAAGAGAAGAGATATTCCAGATTCATATTTAAGTTTAGGTGTTTACTAATAGCAAGTCTCATCAGAATATGTTATATTAATGACCCCAATGCTTGAAAGTGCTTCTTTTTAAACCACTAACACAACAATTAAGTTCCTGAGTTTTTTCTCCTTCTTTGACAGCATTACATATTTTGTCAAATAAGGGGATTCTTGCATTTTATCTCTAAACATACCTCTGTTTTCTTGCAAACAGAAGCTTGTTGAAGTGACAGGACAATGTTAACCAGGGCCTCCATGTTTTAAATCACTAGCTGTCACATTGTCTTATATATTATCAGGGTTCCAGTTAACCGTATGAGGATTGTTATTGGGATTCATAAACTCCATGCTCTTGTTTGAACATCATAACATTTAAAGATTAATATTCCTGCAGTAGAAAGAAAGCTGCAGCAGCCAATAGCTGGCAATGAACATGTGGCTGGTCTATTATAGAGCTCTGCAAGCTGTGCACAAAAATAAACAGATCTTAAAAAAAAAAAAGGTTGTGCAAATTGTAGCCATAACATTTATAGGCTCATATTGAACATGTTAGTGTTCCATGTTTGCAAAATTAGCATAAAGCGGTACAATTCAATATAGCAATCAATTATATTTCTAAACAAATTTATATTCATCCATGAACAAAATAAAAACAATTGAATATTATATTTAAACATACTGTCAGATTATATAAATATCAGAGCTTTTCACTATAAATAAACATCGAAATCAAGATAAATAAATAAAACAAACAATAATCAGTCATCCCTGTGCAGTACACCAACAGTTTCATTAGTCTGTATCCACATGAAAAAAAAAAATCCTACAAATCTACCATATTTCCGCAACTATAAGGCGCATATAAACGTCTTTTTTTTCCCTCAAAATGTGCAGCGCGCCCTATAGTGCGGCGTGCGTGGAAGCGATGGATGACTGACGGAGACCACAGTTTCACAAAAAGTGGAAGGCAGCGCCGGGCAAGTTACGCCACAGTTTGTGGATGGATTGTAGATGCTTGGGCTAACGTGTCTGCTGGCGCTGTTGTTCGAGCTTTCGCAAAAGCCGGCATAATTTCCGAGGAGCCGCACGGCACGGAAAGTGACTCTGACAGCAAAGAAGGGGAAATTGGCATGTCTGATTTAGCGCAGCTGTTTAATTCAGAAACAGAGGATGATGACTTTGATAGGTTTGATTAATACTTTGTAATAAATACATTAATAAAGCACAATCATACTCAGTTTTGCACCCGCTCTATTTTTAAATACGCAGTAGAGGTATTTAAACGTAGTAGAGGACATGTACCTGTATATAAAACCCACGCCCTATAGTCTGGTGCGTCTTATGTGTGTGTTAAATGCAGTAATGGCACACATAACTCAGACTGTGCCTTTTAGTACGGTGCGCCTTATGGTCGTGAAAATACGGCAATCAAATGTTTAGATGACTCCAGTACATGGGGACGGATCAGTAAGTATACTCATACTGCTAGTCGAGTCAAGTAGTGTTTGCCAAATTGCTAAGATGAGGGTGATGTTGGTAGTTCGGTATATAGATTGTAAACATGAAAGTAAAAGTAACAATCATCCATTCAGTAACGAGTGCAGCTTCTCACCTCCCCTATCTGTTTATAAGTACTATGCTTGGATTAACATTATTAAGAAACACAAAAAGAGATTTTTTTACAGTCATTTTATTTATTTTCTTTTATAGTTTTATCTGGTTACAGTCCAGCTATCTGTACCCGTTTTCAAAACAAGGCCAGACCTGACCATGTTGTTTCGCTTTCGGCATGAGGTTCAACCTTTAGCAGCTCCTTCACAGCAGGTCATTAACCAGAACTGGTGCTGCAATGGGAATCAGCACAGACTAACACATGGTGCATATGCAAAGCAAAGAGGTCTCTGAGCAAAGCGTGCTGCTATTATAAAGCTGGTGACTTTCTCAAAGGTATCCCTAGATAACCTTGAAATGGGAAACAAGAGTCCCACTCCACAGCAGCTCAGGCTAACACTGAACATGCTATTAGTTTTGCACTAATTAGCCTTTGGACCTACAATAAATCAGATGGGCTGTGTGGCAAGTTGGTCAGAATTAGGTTTAATTAAACTCTGGTATCAGAGCCTATAGCAGACAGAAAGTGATGGGGAGGAAAATAAACAACCATGTGATGCTCTCCATAGGGGATTAGGTCACCCCTGCAGCCCTGAAACCCTTATAAGGAATCACTGTGATAATGCTTCAGCTAAGTATAAAAACACACACACACTCACACATTGGCTATTTGCCTGAAGTCAGTCATAAACAAGAGTGTCAGGCTGCAGAAGCGGAAACAAATTCACCCACAGTGATGTGTGCACAACAATGCCTGCTACAGAACGCTCACCAACTGCAGAGGCGCAAACAATTGTTTACAATCCATTCATAGCTGACAGTTAGAGGCGAGGCGGTGAAAAGCAGTGGGCTGAAAGAGGGAACCGTCTAAGCAGAAGGAGGAATCGGCGCCTAAGGTCTGAATTACCAAAGCCTTTTAAAAGACATTTGCTTTCTCTCAAGGAGGTGAAGTTGGTCAAAGCAAAACCAGCTGCTAGGATTTAAAATAGAGGTGGGAAGAGTAGCCAAAGGTTTTACACTAAACTAAGCGTAGCATTATTCTAATATACTGAACAAAAAAGTAAATAAATTACTCACACTATTCTATAAAAAGCGTAAAGTAATTAGTAACCTTTTGATCAGAACATCTGATATAATTGAATATTAAATGGTATATGCAGATTATAGTATTATAGAGACAAAAAGGTGACCTTACTGCATAATAAAAAAAACAAAGATAATTTATAAAAATTATATTTTCAAAACATACAATTCCACTCCTTATTTAAAGAGCATTTTGATATGGATTTTCATAACGACTAGAAACTAACGTTACGACATAAAGACTATAAAAATACAAAAAAAAAGCAGAAAAAAAATGCTAATATTAGCCAAATATATATATAAACAAATAAACAGATACAAATAGAGATACACATACACAGATCAAAATCAGAGAACTAAATGAACTGAAGGCATCAGTGAAGGCATCAGGCTTGACATAAGTATTGTTGAAAAAAGGTAAATGAGCGCCGATACAAATATATTATTTCCCAAAAAACAAAGTGCACATTGGAAACAAGAAGAAATTAAATAAAACATCCACGCAAAAGTTCACTGAAAATAGATATTTAAAAATGTAATATAGAATATAGATAGAATATAGCAGCTTCCCAAAACCTATTTGTAAAGGTATTTCTGTGTATATTAATAAAAGAAATGACTGGATTGGACTGAGTAATGGATCTGTTATTTATCCAATATCTGATCCAGTTAATTAGTCACTATCAGAGTGGATATCAAAGCTGTGTATAGGATCAGTCAATTTTTAATGTATATATTAATACACTGAGCATTACACTTCCAGTGACTATACATACAATTTACTGTATATTGACTTGACATTTAAATGGCACAACAGGCTCAGCAGAAACAAAACAATATATAAAAAGTGAAGGTTGTGCAAAGACAGGAAGTCTTAGGGTAACATACACAGTGTAGATTTGTGTCTGTTGGGTAATGTCTTTCTTCTTTGTTTAGTGGAATAAGGATAAAAAGGGGGAGTTTTATGAAACTGTATTGAAGTAAAAGCAGTCGTTTTTCAAAACAGTAATACTTATGTATCATCAAAAATAATGTTCAGTGAAACTACCAGAAAATTTATGTTTTTTTTCACAGTTACCCTACATGAAGTAGCTTAGTGAATGTAAGTTATAATTGACACTTTATGAAGGATTACAGAAAAATAAATGTGGGAGCTATTTAGTTTTTACTGAATGTATTTAACATGAAAATTATTTGAAATTCTTTAGTATTTCACTCAAAGGGAAACTAGATAAATTCCTTATCTACGGCCGAGTGCAATGAGAGAAAAGGAAAATAACTAAAAGATTTAACTCTACCTCTCTATTTTTTTAAATAATACGGATGTACCAATAAGTTAAAAGTGCCAAAAATGTGAGCGTTGAATGTCCGTTATGTATCCCACGCTTTAATAGTGGCCTTCATCTCATCTGCATGGCTGCTGCTCCGGTGTCTCTCATCTTACTCTTAACAGTCCATATATTCTCTAAGGGGTGAGGCCAGTTAATGAGTGTGCAGTAATGAGTTTGGCGTAAAGATCTAATCTTCAAATTTTTCAGCTAAAATCTGATTAGATGTTTTTTTTCTCCCTTATGTTTAACAAAAAAATAAAAAAACACACAAAAGAGCTTTTATTTCAATCACTCCCTCTAAGGAGTGATCTTAATTAAAAGGGTGAGAAAAACAAATGTAATTTTTAAAAACACTTTTAAAATAATCATGTTTCACACCAAGCAATGAAAATAGAACAAAATAAATTTTTGTCACCTAGTTTATGAGTTATAAGCACACATTTAAGAACAAAAAGTGATGCATCGAGATATGGAAACCCAAGATGTGCATTGATGGGGGAAAAAAAAAGTAATTTCTAAAAAATGATCTGGTCAAAAAAAAGAAAATAAAACATTTTCTATTTTCGAATATCAATTAATCGCTAACCCTAGCATACAACATGAAGTGCTGTAATACTTCCAGGAAAAAATTGTGAAAAAGTACAAAATTGAGGTGAAAATGGTAAAAATAAAAATAAAAACACTAAAACAACATTGACTTGGCTCCACAAATCCCCACCAAGAGACTTTGGGACCTTGATTTCATAACAAATCAAGGGCCTTATAAGCATTTTAAAAAGCAATTTTAGACTCCAGCTTAAGTTTTCTTTTTTGCAAACCCAAGAGCCGAGTTATAAACATCTAATAAAGACTTCTGTTTTACTGAATAATGCTAGATCATGCAAAGCATTCAACTACAGCATCCCTACAAGCAAATACCCCAATATCTCCATCTTCGCTTACCATCTATTTTTCAAATAACTGGCTACAGAACGCAACGCAACCCGAATCAGCTGATCTCTCGCGCTGACCAGCAATATTTATTGCCACTGCCTGGCAGTTTGAAAGATCTAAGTTACATCTTGTGTATGGATTTGACAGAGCTCCACTAATTGAAATACTGAATGAAAAACTTTTTTCTACTTCCTAACATGCACCTTTATTACTGGGCAGAAAATTGCCATAGAAAAAAAAAAAAAAAAAAAAAAAAAAAAAAAAAAAAAAAAAAAA